AGAGAGGGAAATGTGCCTCCCTTAGCTAGCCATGTCGGAATATCCTACGTTCTCTCCCTCTCACCTCTGCTTGGAGAGTAAGTACGACAGACCATTTCGTTTTTTTTTATATTCCGAAACATGCAATCACAAGACGTGGTGACGGCACACTCAAGTTTTTTCAACTTATATTAATGCCGCCACCAACACAGGGACAGTACAATACTCATTTACACCTGAGTGAAGTGAGGAAAGTCGTGTAAAGTGCCTTTCCCAAGGGCACAAGATCGGTGGCATGTCAGGACTCGAACCTGGGTCCTCTGGTTCCGAGTCGAGAACGCTGCCGCTACGCCACACGACCCCACAGATTTCGTTGGGTGTGCCAATTAATTCAAGAAACCTCTAAATTCTTCGCGGATCGAGGTTTCCCAGAAACTAGAGAGAAGGAGCCATTTTTTTTTTGCTTTAAGGTGGATGTGGTGCCATTAAGTTTTCCGTCGATTTTCCCTGCATAGATTACGCTGTACTTATAGACTGTAGGTTTGTACATGTCACTCATGATCACGTCGACTTACAGCGCTGCATGTATGCATCCTTTTCTATTTTGTGATAGGTATTTATGTAAGCCAAAGATACTCAAAGTTGGGTTGGTGAACATCATGACAGACATTGTTGCGCGAGGTGCAGTATTTACAGACCTGATCAGCTATCTCTATCTATATCTATATCTTATCTATGACGATGCTGTATTTTTCTCAAATATGTTTTGAAAGGATTAGAATTTTTTAACAGGAAAATTTGTGCGTTTTCAAGAAAATATTCAGCGTACCTATGTGTAGAATAAGTGTCATTGTGGGCTTCAAATGTTTGAAGTCCACAATGTTAACAGTCAGAATCCCTTAACTCTATCAGTAGGATCTGCTCATTCGTGTTGAAAGGATTGCATTAACATGGATATTCTTACAGACAAGTCGTTGCTAAGGATTTAGATGTAGTTGTATTTAGTATATATGGAGGAATGGCGTCACCTAACTGCATTATAATGCTAGGTTTTGAGCGTGTAGAACCTTTAAGTCAATTTTGTTATCCGTTGCCAAGTAGTTCTTTAAAAAAATTGATAGTGACGTCAAAAACTTGCCACCCAAGTCGCAACCACACAATAGTTGATGTGTCCGCAGGTATACACTGAGGAAATGGGGTATTGATTTCAGCATTCTTACAAAAATACTGCAGAGCTTGCGAACATGGGAAAGAAGTGTCGCCAAAGGCGGAATTAGGTCTGAAAATTAATGTTTCGTGTATACTTCTTGCAACTCCATTACGATACTGGGTCCACTCAGTCAAATCGTTGTTATGTGACGTGTACGTACATGCACGGGTAGTTGTGGTAGCTTCGAAATTGCTGATCAACTTTTGGCATAGCTTTTTCGTGCAATAGTAGCGTCGCTGAACTGTGGATTCGTATATCTGTTTGTCCTGTAGTAGGTTGACAGCACGTGGGCGGGGAAACGATTGACAGGCAGGAAGAAATGAGGTCAAATGTCTGAGAATCTTGCGGGGAGCCAGCAGGGGTCGACAGGAAATCGGGGCTCGCATACTTCCCAGAAGTTGAAATATCCGATTTCTTATTTGTTTCTTTGTTTGTTTCATTCATCCATTGTGTTGTTTGTTTTGGTAACCGACAGACCCATGCGGCACGGGCCGTCCCTTGGTGATGCAGGGCTACACCGGAACCTTCTCCAGCCCCAACTACCCCCAAAATTACCCTGCCAAGAGAACATGCAGGTAGATTTTGCATTGTATGTGCATTGAAGGAAACTAAGGAGTGTTTTGAAAATCCTACTGCTACACTGTGCTAAACATACCCCAAAGCCAAGTTCTCACCTGTATTACACCATGAAAGAAATCCTAAACACTTGATTGAAGATTCAATATGTATGAATGTAGCTGTAACGTTAGACGTGTTCGGTGTACGCCTTGTATTTTGCTATTTCGGGTGCATTCTCATGTTTTGGACAGAAGATGGAGGGAGCAAGACAGAATAGAATATGTTTGAAATGGTAAAATGAAAGTTGCACCAAATGCTGCAGATTGTGTGGTAGATTCCTACATTGTGTTCTGTGTGGTTAACTACAGCTGGCGCGTGAAGAGTGACGCTCGAGGGAGACAGCTCTGGTTGGTCTTCGACGATCGCTTCAGCATAGAACATTACAAGAAGTGTGAATATGACTATCTCAAGGTTTGTATACCGAGTAAATCTGTTAGAGATAGCCATGTAAGTGCTACAAAGATGTAATATTTGTGAGAGCTAGATGCATGTTGCCAGCTAGGAATGCATTACGTAACGCTACATATCCTGAATTACTAGAGAATCTAACATACCTTGTATATTCCTTATACATGTATTCTGTGTCATCACATGGTAAATGTTACACATCTATGCAGAAGTACCGCTCTACTAGTAGTAATTTGCTACATCTGGTGAGTTTGTACAATATGTGTCATTCCATCCTTTACATTTCCATCTCTCAAGGGCAAAGGGCGGTTATGCTGTTCTGTAAACCAGTCTACTTCAATTTCAAGCTCAGAATACATATATTTACGTTATGATAGTGTATTGCAATTGTACTAATTGAAGGTGACAATTTGGGGTTAGATTTATGATGGACCAGACGAGAACGCTCCATTAGTGAAGACGCTGTGTGATGAGGAGGCCCCACCTCCCGTCAACCTCACCGGGAACGACGCGTTTGTGAAGTTCAAATCAGACCAAGCCATCACCAAGACGGGGTTCAGGATCACCTGGCGCACCTGTCCGGTAAAGGGGCATCATGTAACATTTATGCACCAAAAACAGAAATATTTCATATAAAAAATATTAGTGTGATTTAATAGTAGTTTACTTAGTCCAATCATCTCGCATTTCTGACATCTATTTTTGGCGCTAAAACAGCCCACACGAGGCACACTGAGTTCGTAGTGCCACCACAAACTACTAGAATTTAAACAAACATGGCTGACAGCTGTGTTTTTAGCTTTTAAACACACTCGTAAGGCTTAATATACATGTATATGGCGCCTTCACTTCCTGAATGGCACTTATGGCGTAGAGGTGTCTCAACGTAATTTGGAAGGAAACTACTCGTACCAGACAATTTACATTTTGTATCGTCCTGATGTTACATAATCCAATACAAATTCATGATTCATGCTGGATTTTTAAAGTCAATTTTCTGGCCATTCTTTTAATGTACAAATATAGTAAGTTGAATCAATCCTACCCATAGCATACTGATACCTGTGAGGAAAAGGCGCGATGTCACAGACTGAAGACATTCACTTGTTTTGTAACGTAGGCTGGTTCTATCTACTTATGGGTGGTACCCAAAAATAAAGAGACCCACATAGCTCGTTTTGGGAATATTTGAAACGCTTCAAGTATGAAATGATGACAATAAAGGGGTTAAGAAATTTCCTTGTCTTCATCATAAATGAAGACATTGAAAATTCTAGGAATTTCACGTATGTATAAAATATCTTAGCTTTGTTTTCTTTTTTTACTTTTTAACTTTTGTTTGAAATAACGACCTGTGTCGCGGTGTCCCTTCACATTTACTTCCCATGTGGTTCTGCAGCCCAACATGCTGCTGTGTGACGTGGGGAGTGTGTGTTTGAGACCGGAGAACAGGTGTGACATGACGCAGCACTGTCAGGACTGGACGGACGAGCTCAACTGTGTTTATGGTCAACAAAACGGTACTGGGCTCATCATTTTACTATTTTATTTTATACATCATTTTAACATTTTACATCGAGTTATTGTTTGTTACCTTCAGAGTTATAGTTTGTTACGTACTGTTTTTGCTCTGTTTCTTCTTCTTCTTCTTAAAAAAACAAGAAAAAGAAAAAACAAATAAAGTCAATAAATAAAGCAGACACCATGTGGTGTTGGGTTACATTATGTAGCAAGTGGCAGGACAGAGATGGAGAGGCTACTCACCATATATTATATGTGTTTGGGTAACACTAAACAGAGCAGTAGTTTGTTAGGCTAGACCATGTGAAGGTAAACATTAGGCATTTCCTAAATGCAAATGTTACCTTTCTAGTTATTTATTTATTCATTTCATTTTACCCGGGGTTGTCCAGGTCAGCGATTGACACTTCTTTGCAGTGCGGCCCTGCATGAATAAACAAACAAGTAATATACATACAATCACATACAATTCATTAAAAACCATAATATGATATTGAAAGTGCTTCAAAAAGGCTAGGAAAACAGAAATCTAATATTCCATAACCATGCATGTACCGTCAAGAGAAAGTGGTGATTCCACAGTTGCTAGTTAACGTTGACCCTTTGACATGTCTATCAATTTTGTGTTTTTCAAAACCCAGCGTGTGGCGGACAGGTCCTGGCGGACGGGCCCGGTAACATCACCACCGTGAACTACCCCGTGTTTTTCCCGCCCGGCCTGAGCTGTACATGGAACATCGTGGCGGCCCCGGGCAAGCGGCTCCGGGCCAGCTTCACGGGGATATTTGACGTGCCTTGCCTTACTGCTGTCAAGGTATGTATACCCATCAAACAAGCAAATCAACATACAAACAAACAAACAAACAAACAACTAACCAACGAAATAATCCACTACAAAATAATACCGAGATGAATGCCACAATATTGACGTTCTACTGAATGAGTAAAGCTGTGAGGCTCTCCTGTTTTGCACCATTTACTAATTTGCAGACCAAGTTTTTTTTTTTCTCTGACACGTCTCTCTTACAATCCGCAGGTTCGCGAGGTGGGCCCCACTAGAAATAAACCCAACAAGGCCAATGGTATTTCCACATTCTGCGGCAGACGGACACCTTCAGACATCATTGTAACTGTGAAAGAACGTCTCAGGGTCCACTTCCAGCCGCCAATGGTCATTCCCGGGAAGGGCTTTGCCCTAACCTGGGAAACAAGCTGCCAGGAGAACTACTTCTCGTGCCCGGAGGGAAGCTGTCTCGTGCCAGAAAAGGTGTGTGATGGGGCGGACGACTGTCAACAGGGAGAAGATGAGAGTTACCCCGCGTGTCCAACTACTGCTCCCCCAACTTCCACTCCTATCGGTGAGTTGTGCTATAACTTAAGCTACAGTATTCCCCAAGACGTCCAGCTTTTCTCGAGTTAGTCACCTGTTTTTCTAGTGTCAGTGTAGGTCACCTTTCGTATGGGTAGCTAGCCTTACGTGTGCACTTATTATACTACGAAAGAAATATAATAATAATAATACAAACTTACCTTAACTTAAACCCGTCTTTAGTCGGCAATATTCCTGTCTTCCAGTACTAGTGAGTTCAATGTTTCTCTTGTGTGCACTGACTACTGGCAATGACGGAAAGCCTGAGAGTGAGACGGCGCTTACATCCAACACACTTGCATCCAACACACTTGCATCCAACACAGTCACACCTGGAAAGTGGTCTACAGACTACCACACCGCTTCACAGACTGGTCCCATCCGTCAGAAGACCATACCGAGTGCTACTTCAACCACACAGCATGGCTTGAGTCCCACCTCAACCGTGCGGGAAGGCATTTACAAGGCTTCATCTGCAACACCTCAGGCTTGGACAAACATGACAGTTACCTGGGCTTGGAATGGTACCCTGGGAGGTAGTACCAGCCTCACAACACAGTCACTTGGTAAGTCTAAGGAGGGAATGTGGTCTATCATCATTAGAGGACATACATACATACCGAAAGCACTATGGTCGGTGCAATTTCTTTTCAGACGCCTCAAAAGCAATTTGCAGAGGTTATGTGGTACCAATCAGATAAATGATTGCTTAAACGAGCACAAACCTCTCGTTCTGCCGACCTGACGATGGCAGAACATTTCTGTCAGTCACCATTGTCCCTGATTCAGTTCAGGGCAACTGCCGGTTGTTGTGGTTGATTTTTCAGCATGTGACCGTCAGGAGCACAATGGGTTTGATCCTACAGCCAAGCTCAGATCCGTCAAAACATGGTATAGAGACAAAAGAAAAGACAACATTAAGAATGCAAATACTTGTAGTAAACACTCCCTCATTAGTTGAACTGATAATTGTGATGGACAGTCATGATCGGTCCAACGCTGTTCCCGAGAGTTTAGAGTCTTACCCAGACACCTGTGTGTTTTGAGGGGCAGTGGTTGTCATTAGTGGGGCTCTGTCATGTACTCATTTACCAAACCATTTGACCACGCACTTGTGTTTTTAGACTCTAAACATACAACCATTTTCGTTTTCTCGTTTGTGTATATGTAGACACCTACCCCAGCCGCCAGTGCTACTCGTGCCATGATGACGGAGCCTGTGCCAGCCCGGTAGACTCTGCAGTACCCGTCACCGAATGTCTGGATGATCAGGCTTGCTGGGTAATGACAATACCTCTTCCCTTACCGGTATTCTCACAGCTTGATGGGGATAAATGTTACAACATCATGAATATTGATAACTAGCCTCCACCAGGCATCGGAAGCCGGCTGGAAGAGTAGAAATTGGTCAAATAGACAGATAATGTGCCAGTGGAGTTGGGTCCGCTAAGGCCCCTGGCGTGTTATTTGTCTATTTGCACGAATTTGCCAATTTCTCCTCTTTTCAGCCGCTTCCGAAGCCTCGTAGAGGATAAGTGACAACATCATAAGACCTACTGTACTTACTTGTCTATACCATGCATGCCACGCCCTTGTCTCAAAGTTGTAGATATGTAGATCGTTTTGATGAAGTAGCCTCTCTGATAGGTCGAGCGCATCCTGGGCCCTGGGAAGCAGAAGGAGAGGATCGTGTACCGCCGGGGCTGCGGCTCGCTCTGTCCGGAGTATTGGGAACAGGAGGACTGCATGGACGGCTGGGTGCAGGTAAACATGTTTTCATAGATTTCAGAGGCATATCTTAGTCCCCGGCACTGAACAAAACATATTGCTGCATAAAAAGTTGGATTTACGAATGGCAGTAAATACCAGTTAAGTCGGGTAGTATTTACTTTGTAAACAGAAGCTAAACAAGAATTCCGAGATCTCATACCTCCATGAAATATGGGCTTGATATGTAAATGTAAATTTCCTCTTTAATTATGCAAATTAACTCTGCATTAACATGATATATGCATCGTGATGTATGTTAACTTTTGATTAACTTACAGATGTCCCAAGTATGACATTCCCATTATTCACCATTAAGAAATCATAGAATTTTTGCATAAATTATGCAAATTGGGTCATCATTTGCATAATTAGTATCTGTTAATGTTCTGCCTGACATAGGTTACATACATTACATGTATGAAAGTAGTATAATGTAAAACACTGTACTCATAGAATTTCCTCAATAATTATGCAAATAAAGTCCTTATTTGCATAATTTGCATTTAATCATGTACATCTCTCTCAGCTACCTACACACCAAAAATTATGAAAATATGTTGTTCCTATCTGGACTTATTGGCTTTTAAACATTTCGCCAGAAAGTGCCCTGCAGTTCCAGAACAAGTTGCTAGGGGGACTAAACTCACACCACTTATTCCTGACAGGAAAAGCGATCTGTCACCAAAACATTAAGACCATAGCATGTTCAGGACAAAAGATACAAAAACCGGAAGTTCTGCTGCAGTACCAAGGTCATCCACCAGGAGGCCCATATTTGACCTTGACGTTTGTCTTCCTAAGACTTACCAACATACCAAATATCATCATAATCCATAAAGGCGTTCTGAAGTTATGCTGACTACAAAGTTGCGGAAACACACACAGACAGACAGACAGACAGACAGACACACACACAGACATACATACATACATACATACATACATACAGACAGACAGACACGCCAAAAACAATACCTCCATTTTTCATGGAGGTAATAAAAGTCATAATCTTTCCCATCAAACTCTATCTGCTTGGAGAGTAGCTGTGGCAAAATTTCCTCGGGGGAATGTTGGCCCTGGCAGTCCGTGGAAACAGTCTGGCATCCATGCAGGTTCTCTAACGGTTGTCCCTCTTCAGACCTGCCGGCTGTGCTGTGCCGAGGACCTCTGTAACAGTCAGCTGCTGAACGGAGACGACAAGCGCTTCTCCAACCAGGTGTCCGAGTCCGGAATGGCAGAGGCGCCGGAGCCCAACTGGATCCACCTTCTCGTGGCGGCTCTGTCTGCTGTCGGCATCTTTACCGCCTGAACCCAGGGCCTGAACCTGTACAATGACGTTTAAGCACCTTGCGATCGTGTCAGCTATGTTCTCTGAACACACATAGGAAGTACATGGCAGGGTTTTCACCAATGTGCTGACTGAACCTGTACAATGACGTTAGCACCTAGCGTCCGCCATGTTCTCTGAACACACATGGGATGTACTAATAATTGGCAGGGTTTTCACCAGTGCTGACTGAACCTGTACAATGATGTTAGCACCCGGTGTCATCCATACTGTCTGAACACACATAGGGTGTAGCTGGCAGGTTTTCACCAATATGCTGACTGTATCAGTACAATAACGTTAGTACATAGGATGTAGTTGGCAGAGTTTTTAACAATGTTTTGACTTCTGAATTGCTGTAAAAGTAGCTTCTACTATTGACGAATATAGAATTATTGTGTCACAGTGCTGTAACGTGTACATACAACACGCGTTTTACTATCTTTCAGCGTGGTTACTCTCTACAGCGTGCCACCGGTATCAAAACATGTATTTTTTTTAATGAAATGTTACAAACTTAAATATAAACGATTTTTACGACTCTTGAGCCCTTACCAACAGACAACTTAAAGAGCACATAGAGCATTTTCTCATTTTCTTACACATATGTACGTGCCCATTTGAGCATGATTGTCCCACGACAGCAGCCAAAATTTGTAAGTGACGTTTCACTCCTCATTGTTTAGTCTGACATTCTAATTCTGTAACTGAAGAATAACGATATGGATTAATACATCATACTCGTACATATGTATATCTGGAGAACACACAGAAATTACATGTTTAACACTGATTGCTAGTGCGACATTTTTATTTGTCTGGTATTGTTTATTTTAAGGATACACATATTGTGTACATTTTCGCATAAACGGAAGGAAACGAACAAACAGATATTCGTGGAGTTTTCAGCTGACGCCTTCCAAACCAAACAGAATCTGCATTACCAGGCGCCAAGAATAATCAGATTTATTTGGATTCCATAAAGTTCATTCATTTTACTCCGGAATAGTGAGATTATCAAGGAAGAAATTTTCAATTTGTCACGGCAAGCAAGTTATCCCTGTTTTCTATAGCCTCCTTGTTTTATCAAATTGCTGAGGTACGTTTATTGACATTACACATTTGTCACCTGAGCAACAACTCCTTGGCGGCCCCATACAGAGAAACGTGAGATACGTGAGAAGCAATTAAACCCGAAACACTACAGTATAAAACGTCGCGTATTTTATCAGAACTCCCCTACGTGTACGTGCAGCCGAGATGGGCGCTGTGGGCAGAGGTGTTGGACATATCGTCCGAATCGTCCTCATCCTGGCGTCCTTTGGTTGTGTCATGGGGCAGACAGGTCAGTTTGTAACGCAGAAGTGTTTCTATGTTTTTTTTTCAGTTCACTACACACTCCGGTGAGTTATGAATAATAGAATGAATTCTAGAAGTATTTCACTTACGCCGACCCATATTATATATATATATATATATATATATATATATATATATGTCTTCTACGCCAAGCCTGGCTTGTAGCTTGCACCTTACCAAGTGTTTCATTGAAAACATTTCCTGCTATAAGCATTGGCTCCCACGTCGCGACCAAACGGCGGTTTTTCTGGACTTGGGAACCGTGGCAGATTTTGGTACAACTAAGGTTACTGCTAGTTTGTTTTTGCCAAGATTGAAAAAAAACTTTGCTAAAACATGAGAATATGATTGCTATTTGCCGCCATGAACCATAGTACCACACAAGACGGATTAAGGTGTGTCCGTACGTCAAGGTGACAAATTTTAGAACCAAAATCCAAAATCTAAAACATTTGTTCTTCAAATGTCACAAGTTTAGAACATTGTAGCTAGCAAACTCTGATGAAAGCAGTGCGATAATTTGGAATTCTTGCTGCCCGACAGACCCATGCGGCACGGACCGTCCCTTGGTGATACAGGGCTACACCGGAACCTTCTCCAGCCTGAACTACCCTAACAAGTACCCTTCAGGCAAGATATGCAGGTACACTTTGCAGCTACCTGCACGAAAATTAAGTTTCCATCAAAAGGCACAACGTCAGATTTTAGTACTATTCTATACAAAAAGCACTATATATTTTTTGTACAAAAGAAAGCGATCACCATGATCAGTTGATCAAACTGTTTGTTAGAGCATATACATGTACAAGGAAAAGTGAAATTGAGCGCAGTGGATGATATTATGATGATCAACTTATGGAATCCCTTCTGGGGTGTCAATTTGCTAGGCTTCAGTTTAGTAATTTGATTAATGGCTGCGATCAGAACTTTAAAATAATCATATACGAATTGCATGTGTGATGGGGATGACGTAACTGTCAGTCAACGTTAGACTCATGGTTTTGGTTAGTGTTTGCAGGAAGACAAAAACACGTTCGTCGAAACAGGTTTGCTGGCAATTTTGTAAACAGAATGGGCTGATTGGTTGTTTTTGGCTTCAGCTGGCGTGTGGTCAGTACCGTACCCGAGAAGCAGCTCTGGTTGGTCTTCAACCGGACTTTCGACATAGAGGAATTTGGAAATAGTTGCGGCTACGATTACCTCCAGGTTCGTATATAGTCTTGTTTACTGTAAGTTGAACAATTCTTGTAACGTTGTCGGTGAAAAACTGTGGTGATCAAAGTGTCATATTAATCAGTAAAATACAAAAGTTGTCACCTTTGTTAGCTTTTGACCTTACCTTAGACGTCACTTTAGTTCCTCAGCAAGTGGCAGCAAGTGTCCGTCCTTCTATCCACAGCAGCTGACGTGTTTTAAGCGTTTAAAGGTTATCGGACATTCTTCTGCGTACATGGGGCCATCATTTCGCTGGCAAGTACAAAAACGAAAGCACGATGAAAAGGCCTACAACACGTCAATGATAATTTCAAGCCCGAACCTCTGCTTGGAGAGTTGCTGCCTCTTCTCATGGGACGTTTGTCCTTTTCAGATATACAGCGAGAAAACTCATTGGATATTTGTTGATAAATGTTGATTTCGTGTATAGGGAACGCATTCCTGTATCATTGTCAAACATGCCAACTCCTGCTTATTTGAGACCACAATTTTGAATTAGGTTCATGATGGACCAAGCGGCAACTTTCCGCTAATTAAAACGTTGTGCGGGGATACCGCCCCAGAACCCATCGTGCTCAGCGGGAACGAGGTTTTTGTGAAGTTTGTGACAGATGCAGCCGTCCGCAAGATCGGATTCAGCATCACCTGGCGAACATGTCCGGTACTGTCTGCCTTTCTACATAAACCAACTTCCTGTCTTTCTCGTTTATCCTTTATCATTTTGCGATGAGTATCACGTTCGATGGTTGTTTGTTTGTTTGTTTGTTTGTTTGTTTGTTTGTTTGTTTGGTTGGTTGGTTGGTTGGTTGGTTGGTTGGTTGGTTGGTTGGTTGGTTGGTTGGTTGGTTGGTTGGTTGGTTGGTTGGTTGGTTGGTTGGTTGGTTGGTTGGTTGGTTGGTTGGTATCCTGGGTGCCATCCTCCGTAGTTTCGTGGTAGCCAGCGACATTAGGGAGCGGGCGGAAACTACGGAGGATGGCAGCCAGGCTACTTGGTTGGTCGGTTGGGTTTCAAGAAGGGATTAGGACTCAGGCCAATTATTATAGCAGTTCTTTGCGCCAGGCTTGCCTGGCACTCCTGTTTCTACATTGCTCTATTACGGCACCCACCAAACATTAGCCTTAGTCCAATTCAAGTCACCAAGGTGACCAATTATTTAAGTCACACATCGTCATCAGACTCACGCCTCCCAACCAGCTATTCCCATCTTGGCATCCAGCCAGTTTTTAAAGCATTCCTTCTTTCATTTCTACAGCACTATTATTGACTTTGGAAAGAGTTATACGATGCGTTTGTAACCGTGATTGTTTGTGGTTTATCAGCATAAATCAGGAAGCTATGGATTGATTGCTATTATAATGTAGCACCAGTATGTTCCTCTCCTGTTCAGCCCCATTTGCTGATGTGTGACGAGGGGAGTGTGTGTGTGAGGGGAGCGGACCAGTGCGACATGCAGCAGCACTGCCAGGACTATAAGGACGAGATCAACTGTGATCACCATCAAACCCGTCAGTACTCCACTCTTCCTGTGATTTTGTAGATTAGAATGTGTACTGATAGACCCTGAATCAACCACGTGGATTATCTTTACTCGTCCTTCTACAAAAATGAAATTTCATGGAAGTTCATCTGTGTTGGTGTAATACATTATGACAAAAATGCAAAAACTTTATGTTCCAACACTAAGTAATTGGGACTTCTGTGAACAAAGATGACGGTGTTAGTCGAGCCCCAATTTCCGTAGTGCCTTTTCGTCATATTATATGATAAGGTACGTTTAGATATAGTGGGTCATAACTGCCGCGTACACAAGTAGCAGTGGAAGAAATGTGTCTGCACTCTTATGTGAAAATTTCACTTTCACTAATTAAAAAATTTTAGAGAAAGAAAGGAACAAACATTTTGCTATTTTTGTTGTTGTTGTTGTTGTTGTTGTTGTTGTTGTTGTTGTTGTTGTAAAAACAATCTGCGGGGGACCAATCTTAACAGATGGCAAACATTCTGCTATTTGTATTGTTGTACAAACAGCCTGCGGGGGACAAATCCTAACAGATAACGGTAACATCACCACCGTGAACTACCCCGTGTTTTTCCCGCCCGGCCTGAGCTGTACATGGAACATCGTGGCGGCCCCGGGCAAGCGGCTCCGGGCCAGCTTCACGGGGATATTTGACGTGCCTTGCCTCTCTGCTGTCAAGGTATGTAGACATATTCCATAGATAGACATTTATATATAGAACAGAAAAATTCGCATTCCTTATGAAACTGGACAAACCATGTATCATTAGCTCCATATGTTCATAACTACAACTGTCTTAGAAGCGAGAAGAAGTTGAACCTGTAAATAATAGCTATATATAGGTAACAGTAGTATGTAAAGTTTTGGTAACATATAGCTGTAATTTTGTTACTTCTGCTTTATTCATTACCTGTACTTAACTTGTAAGAGCATAAACGTACAATAAAAGTCTTTTATTCAATATATTCAACAAATAAAATAATTCAGCTATACAACAAATGAAATAACTCAGCGGAATTACTCTACATATTGTTCTTCACATCAGCCATTAGTATTGATAGCATGTAATAATAGGTGCATACATACATACTACATTATGTATCTACATAATCTAACACGAATGATTTATTAGTAAGTAAAGGAAGACATTTTCTGATGTATCACAAGTGCCTCACATAGCGATTACGTCAGATCATCTGCTGACCAAGGTGTCCCCAATACCAACCTTATCTTACAACTCACAGGTTATCGAGGTGGACCCAAATGGAAACGAGCTCGAGTCCGAAGACACTTCCACATTCTGCGGCAGTCAAACACCACCAGACGTCATTGTGACTGACAAGGAAAGGCTCAAGATCGACTTCCAACCGCCAATGGCCATTCCCGGGAAGGGCTTTGCCCTAACCTGGGAAACAAGCTGCCAGGAGAACTACTTCTCGTGCCCAGAAGGAAGCTGTCTCGTGCCAGAAAAGGTGTGTGATGGGGCGGACGACTGTCAACAGGGGGAAGACGAGAGTGAGTTCCTGTGCGCAGACACTACTGCTTCCCCAAGTACCACTCCTATCGGTGAGTACTACTGTGGTCACATCTATCTAGTTACTGGCGCGTTTCCGCCATTTGCCGAAGCGCGCTTATTTGTGAAGCAGACTGGTTAAAACCGAACTCGATGATGTTGCGATCATCAAGATGTTTGTTTCCTTGGTGGGTAACGTTACCCGCTCATCAACATACAACTTGTCATCATGGTAGTTCACGGTAACAGAAGCTAAGCTGATAAAGATACCTTATGCGGAACGTTATCTTTCCACTGCCAGTTACGACATATGCAGCGACTACTGACGTTGACAGGACGCCAACACCTACACGCGAGGCTGCCACACCTGGGAACTGGCACAACTACACCACAACAGTAGGGAAAGGCATTCCAAATGCTTCAGCTCCAACCCCACATTGGACCGGTAGCCTGGCAGACAGTACCGTGTTCACGGCACTGCCAAGTGATGACTACAGCATCGAAAACATCGGTAGGTCCTCGGGTTTAAACAGTTGTGAGAGGCTGTTGTTGTCATTAGTAGGGCTCTGTCATATACTTAAGATGTACACCATTTACCAAACCGTTTGACTTCATGGTCTTGTCTGTGTACGTAGACACTTACCCCAGCCGCCAGTGCTACTCGTGCCATGATGACGGGGCCTGTGCCAGCCCGGTAGACTCTACAGTACCCGTCACCGAATGTCTGGATGATCAGGATTGCTGGGTACCAACAATTAACTTTCATACTAGTACCATGACCTTCGTCAAGTGTGAATAGCCCATCGCGCAGAAACCGCGACGTCACAAACGTGCGGACGATAGCAAAATGATCAAAAAGTGATGGGTCTTTTAGACTTGATGAAGTCTTTAGTTAGCCTGGAAGTGATGATCCCAATGGACTTTCTAGCCTCCTTTGCAGGCGTTCCGGGTCGGGGGGGGGGGGTCTGATCGCACGCGCTTCCCCTTGTATGCCTTCCGTTTTGCTCCAGTGAAGGCTGAATACTACAGAAGGCAGCCAAAGTTCTAAGCGTTTGTGACCCGGAACGCCTGCAAAGGAGGCTATAAACTTGCATGGTAACATGACTTTTCTTTCACTAAGTATTAATTTAAAAAAGGATTGTCATACCCCTGTATCACATTTGCAACCCTGCTAGGTCGAGCGCATCCTGGGCCCTGGGAGGCAGAAGGAGAGGATCGTGTACCGCCGGGGCTGCGGCTCGCTCTGTCCGGAGTACTGGGAACAGGAGGACTGCATGGACGGCTGGGTGCAGGTAATTATATACAAAATCATAGAGGTAAAAAAAAACCTCATACCTTCGTCCTTTGTTATCGAGAGGTACTGTTTTTGGTGATGTTTCGGTGTATATCTCAAGGTCCGTCGGACGATGGTATTTAGGAGGGAGTCGGCCAAATCAAGGATTTGTAACCTCCTTGGCCAAATGATATAGCATGCATTAGCTCACGTGCACGGTGTACACTGTACAAAGTTATTTATTTATTTATTACAATTGACCACATACATATGTACATGGAGGGCATGGTGCACCTAAGTGCACCTTTCCAAGACCACCATGCCCACATTAGTTCCCTGTGTGAGGTATGTAGGCATTAGATACGTTGTGGTAGATGATGATAGACTATGATGACAGTCAATTTAGTACATGTTAGTACATTGCATTTCATGTGCCAGAGTACATGCATGCTCGCCTTTCATGCCGGCTTGTAGGTCTGTAAGGTGTGCTGCAGTGAGGACCTCTGTAACAGTCAGCTGCTGAACGGAGACGACAAGCGCTTCTCCAACCAGGTGTCCGAGCCCAACATGGTCGGAGTGTTACAGCCCAACTGGATCCACCTTCTCGTGGCATCTCTGTCTACCGTCTGCATGTTCACAGCCTAGCTGACTCCAGATCTGCCGCATTGAAATTGGTTAAAGCCCTTGTCACGCAGTCAGGGCCTTAATTCCCACGACTTGCTCCCGATACTCCCCAACCAGTCAACGTCGGCGCTGAATTGGGAGTAGCCTGAAACACGTATAATTCTAGTTCCAGTTCGCTACTGTGGTCGCATGCATGGAGAATTTGACTTTTCCTAATTCAATTCTTCAAAATTCATAGTTGGTCGGCGTAGATGACTTCAAGTTTAAGTCTAGTAGGCAACCTGGCCGATCTACTCCCAACTACCACGATTGACGGCCAACTCCCAACCATGGTCTGGAGAAGGCCTGGGAGGCCTGACGGCTAGTATGTAAAAGTAGAAAGTTTGTGTGTTGAAACAAAGTTGTCTACCTGATTGTTGTTGTTTTTTTACTTATGTTAGACATGAAACCTAAAGTAAGACTGAAAGAAAAAGGGTAAAACCCTAACAATAGAGCAAGCTTCACATTAGTAGACACAGTTTTAATGCCATGCGTGGAAAATAAAATAATACATGTACACTTTCATCACATAAGTGCGTCCGCCTCAACTTGTCTGTATCAATTGAAGTAGAAGCAAGGCACACAGAGGGCACGAATTGTACAAAAACTAATTTGCACATTTACTAGTAATCAGCAAATTCTATTATGATCTCATATTATTGGCAAATGGCGGAAATTTAATTCTTGTGGTATTTGGAAGTTTGTTGAATTAAATGTGAACATCGTGAAATCATGCACGATACATAATTAATTGAAATAAGGAACTCATTTAATATTTAACAGTTACATAGTTTGTGAACTTTAAGTGCACCAATGCCGTTTTTTCCAATCCCGTATCAAAGTGCATGTACGACATATATTTAGCTGTGTATACATGAAAGATTATCAAATACCTGTACACCCAGCTATGCGAGGACAAGCGTCAAGCTGGACCTTGCACTTCTAACACGACATTATCTTTACCCCTGCGGAGCTAGATTTCCCCCCGGGGTATAGGTCCGCCTGCAGCGTAACTAAGTGGCCTGCCAAGGGGGTTTAACTTTGAATCGTTCCTGGTCCTACTGTGCGACGCTTGAGCTTGAGGCCTTCAGCCTAAAACGATCTCCCTGAGCTGCAAGCGAATTCCCTGAAAAAAACTAAGATTCATCGTAAGCTCTTGGTATGATGTATGAAAAGTAATCTCACGATAATCCACTGAAAAATACTCTAGTACACTATTAGTATTAGTTTTACATAGGCGCAAACATGTAACATCCAAGCAGATATTACTATGGCAAGGCAGCATCCATTGATAACAGGGTTGTCCATTAGACTAATGGACACTCCTTTGGTCAATGATTACTACCCTGCCAACGTAAGATCTGTTTGGAGATTATGCGGACATTGGCCAATGGAAACTGTCTTGCCACCGCAGGATTTGCTTGAAGATTACAAAGAAATGTCCTTATCAGCATTGCGAATTAACCAGTGTACCATTATTAACGCAACCCCTTCTTTTATTATTAAAGTCCCTTGCAGATTTCACTTCCGTTGTGGTGTTTAACAAAACACAGGCAGACAGCAGATGTCTACACCGGCTGATGGGGACAAACAAGTAAGTGGTCACGTCTCACGATGTCATGCTGATAGGTCCTACCATGTACACAAACGGACTGGCAGCATTTATACTTACCGCCTTAAATTTATACCACCGTATCTCGCACGTAGCAGCAAATTTCAAGAGCCTGACAAATGCACTTATATTGCATTCCCCTCTTATATTAAATCTAAGCTGATTTATATGGGAGAAGTCGTGATGTCAGGGATTATTACCGCGGATTTGATGAGGCACTAAGCTTGTCGCGCGACGGCCTGCCCCTCACACCTGATGGTTACGTCATGTGTTTGGAAGTGTGTGCAGGATCCGTCCCATCCGGTTCCGTGATCCTGCTGGCTGGCGTCTGATCTCACCAGGATCCCGTTATTCTCAGATCCTGCGGCTAGGCCCCAGATCTCAGGGATCCCGCCGTCGTCAGATCCCGCTGATCCCTTCCTTGTGATCCCACTGTCGTCTCATTTAATACCCCCCGATTTTCGTGGATGTCTCCAGAACGCGGGCACACAAACCACCCGTTTTCCTGCGAGATGGCCACGGTCTTCTTTCCCTTTGCACCGTCAGACGAGCAAAGATCTGTCTGAGGCGGTGCTACAGGCTGCTGTGGGCGCATTTTCGGGGAGACTACTCGAGATTGAGCTCCTAGATTCGTCAGGTAAGGGGGAAAGCTTACTGTCACCGACTTTAGCAGGCTTTAATTACCGCAGGCACCAACCGCTGAGCCCGGCATAATTTGATCCGTCTTACTAATTGTGCAGACGACGCCTCGCTCGTTACAACATTATGTTGTTGCCAGACGCTGTTTGTCTTCCGTAATGTTGAACTTCTAACCCGAGGAACTCCCTGGGGTTTGCGTGCCTACAGTCATGTCAGTGGGGTGCAGTTTGTAGTTACGTTACGTGCTGTCAAAACGATTTCAGAGAATTTGGCACTGCTCTTTACATAGTGTAACTTACGTAAGCTGACCTGGATACCCTGATCCATTACAGATCGTCCAATGTTATGCCAATGTACAAATGTACGTTCCTTCCTCAACCCTAACGTTACTACACACACGTAGCTAGACATTACAGTCGCACTTGACCTAGATCAAGAGTTTCATATTTCCATTATTGGAATTTTAGGTTATGCATGCATTGTTTTGAATCCGTGCACAGGAAACAGTCTTATCTGTATTCAGAATATTTTTGGAAAGAAAAGATGAGGATTTAAAAATCTGATTTTAGAAGTATTTAGATAAGCAGGATTACTCAGATTTGTTATTTTCTGCACCACCACTCTGTAAAAAAAATTAATTTTATGCCTACTGTTATTCATGTATGTCTGATACCTTGGATACATCAAGCTTTTACTTAATCTCCAAGCAGATCCTAGGGTTGCAAAAAGACAATATCCATTGGTCAGAGAGGGTCCATGCGCCACCCAAGGGGGTAGGGGCAAAAAAAAGGGCCATATATAAAAAGGTAACGATCTTCCCCCATCAACCTCTGCTTTAATAGAGAGTTGCTTTCACTGTCAATTCCTTGCTGAGCCTAGCCTCCTGTGCAGGCCCCGCGGCGGTGGGGAAGAGTTTTTTAACGCATTATTTTAATATAGCCGGCCATCCTACATAGCTGCCGAGAGAAGGTTCCCGTGGGCGGAAAGGAACCTTCTCTCGGCGGCTATGTAGGATGGCCGGCTATAAAATAATGCGTTAAAAACTCTTCCCCACCATCGCAGGGCCTGCACAGGAGGCTAGCTGAGTTAAAGACAGGAGCACTGCCTACCCTACCGTACCCCCTCCCATGACACCCCCTCCAGACCACCATAGCCCAATGCCACCCCAAGATTGCTGAATCCATTGGACAGGAGAAAGCTGTCAGACCACTCCTTTAGTCCTTATCCTTGTATCCAGCTGTGCAGGTTTGTGTATCTGTAAGTGGCAGGGCCCCAGAGGTTAGCTGCCCTCAAGATGTGGCCCAGATCAATTTACAGGCTGCACATAAACAAACACTCTCCTCCCCATTCATTAGTGACTCCAGGCCTTTTATTTTGACAGAAATGTGATATCAGTAATACCACACATTTCAGGAACCTGTACCATTCATTGTGATTATATGCACATTCAGTACCTTGTAAATATTTTTCTCTACTGGATTCTTGTTTCACTCTCAGCATCTTTAGACACAGCTAGCAGCTGGCAGAGAGCCCAGTCCCTGATGTAGTCACAACAAAACATGGATTTATAGTCTGTTTACTCTATGATCCTATGGAAAAAGTATTTCTATAGTATGAATTATTCTTAAAATCAAAATGTAATGGGTGATCCTGGCAACTGATAATTTAACTGTAAATTCAGGCAGACCCGCAGTGCATAACGGAAAATCAACTTAAGTTGTCTATGTATAAGGCTTTGGAAGCAACTTCTTTGGAATATTCTTTTGTATTCATGGGGTGTCTAGAAAAGTAGCCTGTGGACCTTGATTTCTCTGTTATGATTTTTGGGCAGTCTGGCATTCGACTATGTGATAGGAATAATTTTTTCAATAACGATGAATTCAGGATAACAAACAAGGAAGGACATGGAACGTACTACCAATTACTCTTCACAAAGAATTTCCCAACAACGCATTTAAGGTTGAATTGAAGCAGTCGGCTAGGATTAATGGTGAATTAAAATGGCTCGCTACCCCTCATGGAAACAGGCATGCAGACTCTGTGTATAGATATATAGTCTATAGATGCAATGTGATGTAGAGTTCCGATATCAGTGCAAGGGATGGGTGTGTTGAGGGTATGCTTCTCGATTGTCTTCATCCAACTGTGCAAATCAAGGCAGTTGTTTTGATGTCTGTGCAGACGGGATTTATAATTGGTTTTTACACCAGATGCTTTTGATAACAACGATCATCAAGGGAACGCTATGGTTTTCATGGGGAGAGGACAATTACCTTCCTGGCCTGAGCACATGACATAAAGGCAGGTTTTGATACAAAACTCTTTGATCTATTTTCACAGTGTTGTACAGTTGTTCTGTTAACTGTATATACATTTTGTAGTACTGCTTGTTGTATGTGATTAATCAAGCCTTTAACCTCCTTGGGTTAATGTGTCTCTAAGAAAGAATGTACAGCTTGGTTTGTTTGCTTAACAAATATTGATTACCTTAATATAACCACACACATGGGGAATTCATGCTGTATTGTTGGTGAATTAAGTGTATTTGTAATTGCAAGTTGCTAGGGAGTTGGATTGTAGCTAATGATTTCTTATATGTACCTACAGCCTGGCAACTGAAATATCTTGTTTCCAACGTGATCAACAGTATGTCAGTGTCTGGGATTAGATATTTGACCACCCTCACTCTAATGACATTTGTGACATACATGACATACCACTGAGTACAGTTACTATGCAAAGGACAAAAGATACATTGAACAGGAGCCCACAACACTAGAGGAATTGCTGCAGGTCAATATAACGTTACAGGTTTGGATTCGACCCATCCAGATTTAGTATTCTGCCCTTGACGTTGGACCGGCTGGAGTCCTGATCACAAGTTGTCTGCCGTCTTGTGAAAGCTGACAGTGCAGCAATAGACTTCGGTCCCCAGAGGAACGCTGCATCAAATTGGTATTGTCAGAAAAATGTTCATATTACTGATTCATGCGCAGGCTCTCACGAACCACACAGGATGTAGTCTCCGCACGGCAACAGCTGTGCGGCCATTGTGCTTACCCTGTCAAACAGATTACGGAGTTTAACCATCAAATAGAGCATTCCAACCGCAGTTCTCTGTCCTTATATAGATGTTTTCTGGTGCCCTGTTCCTGGCCCTGTTCCTGGCAAGTTACATCGCTGTCGAAACAGAAGGAGAATGCCATTGTCATGATGTCATCTTATCTAACGTTACATGTAAAACAACAGGCAGCTACAATTGCAAGTCATTACAAGTTATGACTGGGAAACTACAATCTTTATTTTTCAAAAAGTATTACTGCTGGATCATGTGATGTTAGCTTTTGCAGAAAGGTGACTCTTAACTTCAACAAAAATGACAAGCAAAGTGCAAAACTTTTAATTATTTATATATTCTCGGGAATATATATAGAAGCAGGTCTATCCGTCAGTATCAATGATATGTTGTCATCGATCAACATAAAAGGTAGGCCAAAAGTCAGGTGTCATTCCTGGATCATGTGTCTACCGCTGCTACCAACTTATCTTAACTTTACACAAGATCTGTGATTAAATTGAATAGGATTCTTCTGATGCCGTTGTAAAAATCTGTTTAGACTAACATTTTGGAAGGTTGTATGTACAGATTGCATTTAGTAAAAATGTTCCAAGTTTTCTGACATTTTTCAATTTTGCATATTACATGCTTGGTATTATTGCTATAGTAAGTACTGTGCCATATGTTTGGAAAGGTATGATTGTTATAATATTAATACTAGTATACAGATTGAATCTGTACGATACCTTTTGAAAAGCCACTACTACTAGTACTACTAGAAGGACCAAGAAATAAGATGCAAGAAGTCCATCGCATATTGATTATATATAATATGCATGATCTCAAATTGATTTGTTTAGTCTGTTTTATACAATTGTCAATGTAGGATGGGGATGGACTCTTCACTTTAGTACACATTTTTAGAACCCTCCTGAAACAGGAACTGTATCGGGTTTGTGTGATTTCCCTTTTAGTATTCCAGCCAGGTCCAACCTAGCTCCCCACTTACTTTGCGTGCGTCATCGGTGTTAAAACAGACAGCAGGAGCAGACTGGAGTTGTGTAGTGACTTACATATCAATCTTTACGCGGTCTAATGGTGAATTATACGGCGGTGCGATGTAAAAAGGATGGCTCAGGCACAGGAAATGAGAAAACCTGCCGAGGAATTGGCCCAATCAGCCTGCTATCAGTGACTCAGGTGTATTCTTCATTCCATCCACAATACCCCAAGTCTTCCAGGTCAGCTTCTGTTATGATGCCTTCGATACTATCCAGCAGTGCATTTTGAATGGACCATTTACGGCAATAGCACGGTAATGACATTGCAGTTTTGTGTAGAGCATGGCTGACTGGTGCATTTATGTGTGCATTAACTTTATATACATTGTATGTAGGTCTGTTCCTTTACTTATAAAACAGAATGTAGCAATATTATATTTTATAGATGACTCCTAAATGCAAATGTAAGCAAAACATTGTGCAGAGGATTCATGTATAGCTGTGAAGGATGGTACAGAATTCGAACCATCACCAGTGTGCTCTTGATGAGGTGATTTTTACTGGTTACTACTAACATTAAATGTAGCTAGTACACACAGCCATAGTATTATGACATGTATAGCCATTATTTAAGAAAGCTCAGTTCAAACATGGCATAGATAGTCTTTTTGTTTCCTTGAAAATCTGTCCAATAATTCCAACATGCATGAAAATCCTGATCAGGTAATCCATCCCACAGGCAGTCTGGCAACTTACCAGCTACTTCCTGATGTTAGAAATGTGCCCTGTTTTAGGTGTGGTTTCCTTCATGTATATGTTTGTGGTGTTGTGTTGAATTCTTGTAGATCTATCATCAGCTTTTCCGAACCCATGTTACAGTATTATATTCACTGTTACAGTACAGCTTGTATCAGCATCGTGTGCTAGCATCTTGCCCAT